TCCTGCCCAGATTTATTCTCTTGTTTTATCAACATTGAAAGCACAACCTAAAGATTCACCATTCACTATTTTTCTGCAAACTTCTTAATTCAACATCAGACCCACGATATCATCAAAGTTCAACTTCAAAGTCCCTAAAGAATTACTCACCGTCGTTACCAAGTCATCCCATATTTCTGACAATGAAGATAGTATCACCGGTGCTCTGACTTCATCATCAAATTTAATCCCTACAGAACATAACTGGTTGGTCACAGTGTTAAAATTATTGAGATGTTTTGTCATTAAACTACCTTTCACCATCTTTTTGTTAAATAATTTCTTCATCAGAAAAGTCTTATTGGAAGTAGAATGTTTTTTGTACATCTTAGCCAGTGTCGTCATGAGGTCCACCATGGTTTTTTCATTTACAATGTTAAATGCAACACATTTACAATGTTTAATGCAACAGATGTAGAAAGTGTCAACCTGATCAAACCCAGTGTCGTTTGATCCAACATTTCTCATTCAAATTCAGACATTATTGTGATTTCTTGTAGTGGCAAGAACATTTTTTTGGACACAACAAACCCTCCACCCGCACCTTCTAAAAAGCAAAGTCCGTCCCATTGAGTTTCTCCACTTTGAACCTTACTTCTTCGTCCATTACTCCCACTTGAATTGAACCCCCACTCCCCGCTTTGATACAGGTTGAGAGGAAATCGCACAACGAACAATTACCAACTTTATCAGGGCTTAAGATCGATTAGAAACTAAACCACACAGCGGAATAATGGGTCCCCACCAATTCGATAAAAAATCAGAACAAAAATTAAAACATAAGCACAATCAAAACAACGAAGAAACACATGAAAATTTACGTGGAAATCCCCGAGAACGGGAAAACCCACAAAGCCACACCACAAAAAAATTTTGCTATGAAATTCAAAAGGTTTTACAAAGAACAAAAATAAGTTTTCTCTCCATATAAAAAAGAAAATTTACAGGACTTGCTCCACAATCTTCCCTCTCCAATCCGACGCAAAAATGTATGTTGAATCACTGAAATCCACCTCTTCGATAGTCTCCACCTTCACCGGGATGCTTGTTGAAGAATACCGAAGGAAGAAACACTAAGCCCTATCCTATGTCGCTCGAAATCAGGATTCAAAACCAATTCGTGACACAACAACCGCTCCTGGCGCATATGCGGCCGAACTCTCGGGAAACAAGCACTTATATCAACACAAAAATCTACCTTTATTCGAGCAGCACCCAGGTGGGCGCTTAAGCACCCACAACCCAGCACATAACTCCATGTGCTCCATACCGCTTCTCACCAAATCAAACTCCACTCATAACAATGCAAGGTCTTCCAACAGATGGGGCATTAATAAACTCCATTCCATTAGAAGTTAATGCTTCTGCAAGCACTTATAGTTAAGGGGGGGTTGTCGATAATATAATGGAGCCTTCACATACATGTCACATAACTTAAATGCACTTACATGTCTAACACCTAAAGTTTCATATTTACATGTAAAATATATTGATGTTATATCATATCAAAGCATGCGCATGAAAATGTGCATTTCACTTTAAAAAGGTTAGTTAAGTGTTATTTCTTAATGTGATATTAAGGATTTGAGTGTTATATAAATAAAGATTAAGGTATAGAAGATAGATATGTAAATATATTAGAATTGTGTGGTACAAATGTAAAATCCCTTAATATAATTGCCATACCTAAGAGCCCCAACAAAATAGCACCAAAATTAGTTTTTTATCAGAGTAATCCCATGAAAATCAACCAGATGAAAAATCAAAGCAATCCAAAACATGTTATAATTTTCATGGATAGCAACAAGATAAGTTCAAAAGGTAAAGTCGCTCTTAAAATCAATCAATGCTGGCAACAGAGTTTAAAGTATAACCTTGTGGCACATGCTTTTCTTTGTTTCATTTATTGATAAACTGACAGGAAAGAAGTAAGGCTATAATTGTGTAAGTAGCTAAATTTATACAACAAGCTCCAATATGCAAGAAAGTGAAAATAAATATGAGAAAAATCTACTTTCTCACAACAAATAAAAGCCTTAACAAATATGTATGCTAAAATATAAATAGAGAAAAAAGTTTCGAAGTGTCCTAGCGTTAGGACTCTCTAAGTTTACACAAGGTTCAAGTAAAACCTTCCAAATACAAGTAAAAGAGCCATTTTGATTCTAAATACTGCAGATCAAGAAACTGGATGGATATTAGTCGATTTTTTTTTTTCTTTTCTGGAGAATGAAGAAGTTAAGAACCAAAGAAAAGGATGTAACTTGGTTCAGTTTTTGTATTTTTTAAGTTATCAACTTATTCCTTGAGACAGAAGAACTATAAAATTAATTTTAGGCCTTTCTTCATACCCAAAAGTTATAAGGAAAACAAAATAAGTTGAACAGAAGATCCACTGCATTGAATTATTAAATCCGCCACCGTGATTCAGGATTGAAATACCACGAAAACCCCTACCCTAGCAGAAAATGGGGAAGAAGATAATTTTCTTTGAGCACAAATTGGATGACAGGGATGGAAAACCCCCAAAAGAAAACATCGAAGTTACAGAGAAAGGAACATGTTCTTTCGAATCATGAGTAAAATCTGAATTTCCAAGAAGAAAAAAAAGGCAGAGATTTCCATTCTCCCCATCTCATCCCCCCAGTAAACATACCACCAATCTTGCTCTCAATTTGACAGATTTGTAATTTGCAGTAAAAATTGAATGAGTCAGCAGCCCATCACTGCACAATTATAAACAAAGCTCCCAGATTGCTTCCTTGCAATCATGTTCCACATTGGTGGCTCCCCAACTTTAGGAATCCATGAGTGGAGCTCAATCACTCCTCCACCTAGTGCCCTTGGTCCACCTATGACTATCAGCTGCTCACCACAAGCCCTAAATGCAAGCCCCCATCCATTCACAGACACCGGCCTTTCTGGCAGCTTCCCCAAAGTGATCCACACATTGTTTTCCTTGTCATACTTTCTCAAATCCTGATGTGCATAATGTGCAGCATACAGTTCATTATTCACCACCGCAACAAGCGGAGGAGCACCACTGGCACCATTCAACCCTAATGACATATTAGGAATAACTTTCCATGTGCCTTTTTCAGGATCAAACTCCTCTCCGCATGTAAGCAACTCAGTATTGCTAGCCATTCCTCCAATAACATAAAACTTCCCATCCATGAATACACCGGAGCACATCTTCCGTGGTTTGTTCAAGCTAGGCAGTGTTGTCCATGTCCGTGTGTTGGAATTGTACAGCTCTGCAGAATTTAATATGAGACCAAGGGCATCACTGCCACCAGCAACAATGGCCTCATCTCCAGTACTTGCAGAGCCAAATAAGCACCGAGGAGAATTCATTTCAACACCAGGTGACCATGAGTTTGTAAGAATGCTGTATCTAAGAACAATGTGAGCATTCACTTCCTTTCCAAAGACAAGGAGCTCAGTGCCAACAGCTAGTGATTCCTTGTCTGAGCACATAAAGCATTCATTAGGAGGCATCTTTGGCAAATTAATCCACCGTGTCCGGTAGGGATCATAGGCCTCCCATTCATTCACGTTGCATGAGAAGTACACCCAATGCTCTGTGATTTCGTTCTTTCTACGCCTTCTGTATAGCTCTCCACTCCTGATCAAAGAGCGAAATCCATGGTTGAGAGAGGCAAGGACACCATAATCAGAGCGGGAGCACCACATCAGACAACTAATTGAATTATCTCTGCCAATAGCACTGATGAGGTTCTCTGATTCACGACAATCAGATTTGGTGGTAGAGGAATTAGTAAGTTTTAGTGACTTGTTCTGCCTCCGTTGATTTTTGTCCATAACCTCGGAATGACCTCTAGAGACTGCATCATGCGAATTTGTATTGTTAGTTCTATCGATGAGATGGTTGGTCATGTATGACCACTTGGATTCTTGTTCGCAGGAGCTCGGCAATGCCCTCGAGATTAAGCAGGACTGCCCAACCAACATCTCTATTGAGATGGGGCACTGAGGAAACTAAGTCTGCTGATCTGAGGAAATCGAGATTGATGATCCAAACCCAAATCTACGTTCCTTTTCTTCAAGGGATAATCTTTGCTTTATCTGGAATACAAAGAGTGAAAGAGAGTATGTTCAGCACGGGGACTGAGACGTGACGGAACCAAAACAAATACATCCAGTGAAGAACAGATGCAATAGATATCCCGAAGCATGAAGTTCATAAATCGGCTTAAAACCCGGGCAAATGAGAAGGGGAACTCCGGGCAAAAAAATTCCACCTTTTCTTGCAAGGAAAATAAACCCAACCTAGAAATCGGGCTGGGAAAGCAGACAAACGGAATCTTACAACAACAAGAGTTCAAATCTAAAAAACATGGAAGGAGATGAACAAGGGGGCAAAAGAAAAAAAAAAGGAAGAAGAAGCGGAAGCCAATAAAAAGCACCGGTAGAACCCCAAACCACTTTTAGCAAACAAGAAGAAGAAGCAATCGGGACTACAATACGTAGTTTAAGGATCTCGCGATTTCTCCAAAAAAAAAAAAAAAAAAAAAAAAAAAAGAAGGAATGAATCTAACAGCGTTGAATCTCTATTTTTCCCTCTTGGAAAACATTGATCAAAGTAGATGACTAATAAATTCCTAAAATCTAAAAAAATCAATAAAGTACCCAAAAACAAGTATAAAAATACTTCATTTCCTTCCTTCCCGGCATCTATCTCAAGCAGGCAGGAGGAGCAGTTAGCGAACAAATCGGAGAAGAGAACACTTGCAGCCAACAGAGAACGGATTGAGAACAAAATTCTCTTCTTGCTTCTTTAATGGCTCATTCTCTCCATCTCTAATATCGCTCTCTGATTCGTTCTTCTTCTACTGCTTCTTCTGGCTTCCAAGCAGCCTTTGTCCTTCCGTTGCTTCGACCGTGGGTTTGGAGCGGCTTCCTATTTATCTTCCTTCCGCTCTCCGCTCTTCATTTCCAAAAAATTTTCAGTTTTTTTTAATTATTTTTAATTATCCCGCCTAGTCTATCTTATCGAAATAATTCAAAAATAATTTAAATTAACTCAAGAATAATCTACACTGCACGTAGAATTAGGTCATGTGTTCGAACAGAAAATATCTGCGTTCATTTTTCATGAATTATTATTATTATTTAATATTTATTGCTGTTATTTTTTTTTTCCTGTGAAACAGGTAAAGCCATTTTCTGACGCCTTCTTACTATTTTTTAAAATTGGGCTTTTTTTTTTTTCGGCAAAAGCAACTTCAGGAGGAATTTTCGATTAAGATTGCCCATTTATAGATTTTGATATTGGTCCCACATCGCCAGAGCAACTGTCGCCCATTATTGCCCACCATTCTGTCATCACGTATATTTCGTAGCTTCCAGCGCTCTGTAAATTCAAAAAGATGAGGGGCCATTTGATTTGCTTAAGAAACCATTTGGTAAAAAAACATTGTATTTAAAATAGAATGTAAAATATTAAATACAAGAGATTATTTTTGCATATTTGAATTAAATTTTAAAGTAAAGGAACGAACGCAAGTTGGCAACTACAGCCGAGTGTAGCTGACGGCATTGACCGGCGAAAATGGCGCTCCAACTTTAAGTGTTGTCATGACTGGAATGTTGCTTTTAAACTTTTAGCACATCTTTACTTATTACTATTTTTTTAACATTTTGAATAAAATGTTTATTTATACCCACAATTCTTGTAACTTTATGGAACTTCCACATGATTATCCTTAGTTTCCTCCGGTGGATCGTAGTCGTTGTCCGAACACAACTTGCCTCGGAACTCTGGACGTAATGAGCATTTATCCAAAAATCTCTCTGCATTATTCTGTCATTTGTCATTGGTCATTAAATAATTTCCATCAAACATATATTCATCAGTGTTTGATCTGGCCAAAAAAGTTCTTCAAATTCTATAATGAATTAAGTCTATGATTATTAATTAAATAGAAAAATAATGCATTACAGATAGTAATATTTGATGAAGATCTCATTACATATTTTTAATTAATAGACAACATCATTTTTTAAGTTTTTGACATGTACCATTAATTCTTAGCACTGACAATACATCAATAAAATCATAATGCTAGTGAAGACTCATCCAAACCCCTTTCAAAGGATAGTAATTCTTTAAATTGTGGCACATAAATCCATTTTGGCTAGACAAATACCTAACAAAAAGGTATTTTTTGGACTAACTTGATGAAAAATTAGGAAAATTTTAACTAAAAATTGCAAGTAAAAGTGTATTACAAACTAATGCAGTTGATAATAAAATTATATGATATAAAAGCTTCACTAGAGGATATGAATTTCATGAAAAAGATATGACATAAGTGAGCATGAAATTTTTGTAGCTTGATAGATGTTTCAAAAATAGAGCTCACAATTAAAGTTATGCATTGATTCAAATTCAATTTTTTTTTATTATTTATGGCATCCACTAGAACTAACAAAGCTAATATCCTAATTGATGGTAAAATAACCTATCTCAACAATTTTACTTGAGTCCGACTCAAAAAGACGGTTCGACTTAATCTAATCATCATTTGAGTTAGGTTTGGGTCAAAATTACAGAGTTCATTATTAAGTGAATTGCATTTAAGTTGTGTAAATAAACTTGATTACTATTTGGTCTAGGGATAGGTGGGTCAACAAGTTATATTCAGGTTATTGGGTTGCACTGAACAAAAAAAATTACCTGATCTATAAAATAAATGAGTTTGGGTTAGACAGCTTTTGATTGAGTCAAACTTGGGTCAAATATGTTGAATTTGAGACAAGCATATTTAGATTTTGTCAACTTTAGTTCATAACCTAATATAACCCGCCAATCAATATTGACACCTCCATTTTGCACTAAACATATATGGACGCTAGCCAATGAGAAACTATTTTTTAAATTGCAAGTAAAATACTTGATTACAAACTATGTCGGAGTGGTTCACTTTCTTATACGATCATGTGGGTAATTAATTATTAAGCGATTTATTGAAACTACACGCAACTTAGTGAGACTAAATAGAATTTAGACGATATTCTGTAAATTTATAAAAACTTAACTTTTGCAGTACAAGTCAATGTACTTAAAACAAAATATAAGTTATCATGGGACACTAGTGTGAGATGGGAAACTTTTGAGGATAAGTTCTTAATGAAATGATATAATGAATTAATAAATGTAAGAGTGTCAAATAGAAAACAAAATAAAATTTTATTTGGATATAGCCAATAAGAGATTCAACAATACTATAACATTTCCTTTCAATTATTGTAAATAGTATAGCTCAAAATCAATTACAATCAAGTGCACACAAGTTAAATAATATTGAAAATTAAATAATTTTAGTACTTAAAAAAGCTGCAAGGGGTTATATATGGGGTTACAAACTATACAATGACCAAATTTTGGCAACAATATAACAATGCATAATTAATCATCATGTTCTCATTTTGTTTCATCACTCCCATCCAAGTATTATCTTCAACAATTTTTTGTAACTTCAGTCCCACTTAAGCCAAATATAGCATTGCAATTGGATTAAATTAACTTATATCCCAGAAAAAGAAACCGATCCTATTCCGACCACAACTATCATATAATGTTTATACATATGAATCAAACTCTTTCATTTACATGCATATCTTTTCATGAACAGCTAATCTAACTACTTACATAACATTATAAGCAGTGACATGCCAATTTTTAAATTTGCAATAGGTTTAGAGCTTCATATTCCGCAAACGCATTAAAAAGAACAAAGTCAAAATTGATTAATAATATAAAATGTTAGCCTGTATCTAAATGTATATTTGAAATCCTATGAAAGATTTCTCTTTTTCTCAGCTATCCAAAGTTGGCTTTTTTAAGGCATAAAATTGAAAAATAAGTAAAATCACATAAAAAAAATGAAATAGTGAAAATTTTGATTGGAATACCTGGTAATAATAAACACATATTCAACTACATAGACTTCAATAATAATTTTTAACTAAGAAAACTTATAAATACTAAGTATCTATACAACAAAGTAAACTGTTATTATTAAATAAGAAATAATCTATATTCTTATAACATTAGACTCGAATTTATATTTGAAGATACTAGAGTCAATTTAATCTTTAACAATCGAGTCACAAACTATAATACTTCTAAACTCTAGCAGTAATAGTCAATTTAGCCATCAAATCTTCAATAAGATCTTGGTTTGACTTCACAAACAATATTGAATTTAAAATGTTCATTAAAATAAAAAAAAAAGACATTTGACATTTTCCTCATTTTATCTTTAATTTTCATATATTTAGACAGATTACAAATATTAGCTTAAGAAGTTTGAAGCAAAGTGGAATAGTTTTGAGTTTGATAAATCATTGACTTCAATTTAAAGACTTAAGCAGAATGTGTAAAGCTAATCATAAGAATTTTCTAAGAAAATATATTTTTCTTCTTTTAAGCTTTGACCAAAATTAAATATTTTTCTGTATTTTGGCATCTTCTTCTCATGTGATAAGTATTTAAATTGATCATTACTTCCCCTTATATGAAAATATTTCCTTACTTTAAATATCATGTGCCAAGAGGCTCAATCTAAACCATTTGGAGTTCCATTTGATTTAGTCATTCACTTTCTAATTGGTCCAAGGATGATAGAAACAACCGAAACTCGTTAGACCCATAAATCAACCATATGAACAACTTTATATCGATCAAATTATTGGTAATAAAATCTTTGATCAAGAAATATGACTGGGATGTGGACAAAAATTTTGAACAATACAATATAGTTTTAATCATACCCATTTTTTATAAAAAAAAAAGTATAAATCAATAAAGGAAACTCAACTACTCTGCTCATGATGTGTCTTAATAGCAGGCATCTGTAAATGGAAGAATTAGGAACCTTTTATAAAGGACCACTCAATTATTGTAAAATTTTTTTTGTAAAAGCATGATGCCCAAAAAAAAAAAAACAAAGGGTTTATGGTAAACTCAACTCAAAATGAAAATGATCAATTAAAATTTGAGGTGCGGGACTTGTAAAAATTTAGGTGCATCAAAATATTCAGTTAGGAGACATAAGAATATTGATTCAATCTTACTTCAAACTAATAAAAATTACATTAGTGCATGAATACCAAATTATTGACTCGCTTTCATACTCACTTCTTATGTTGGGTACAAATTTGATTGTGAATGTATTGAATTTTTTTCCCCCCTCGATCTACATTTTCTAGCAAATGATATTGATACGCCACCAATAAATTTTCATCATCCGACATGAATATCGAGATATGACATAAATCTCGAGGCAATCTTTTGAGCAAGAAACATTCTAACTTCAATTAAGAGTCATTCGGTGCTCTGATTTCAATAAACTTATAGTCAAACTTATCGGCTTGATGAGACAGACCCAATGATATAAAAATTAGTCTAATCTGAGTAAAAGTAAACTTAGATCAAGTCATTAAACCACTCTTAGAAGATTTCTGGACACATTTAGAATCTCAAACGGATGTCGATTCCGGTGATTTCTTAGTCGAATCGAGCGTCTCAGCAAGATGAATCCAACGAGCCTAAGATCACTCAATTTTGACATCATTAAGGCCTTCAAAATGTCCATCAAACGTTGTATGATCGAAGGAAGCTCTCCGCACCGTCCGATCAATGTGGTTCATTTTCTTACATTAATTGCACCTAGAACACTATAAATTATGTCTCACTGCTCTCATGAAGAGGATGTGAGTTTGAGGCTTGAGAAAGAATATAAAGCTTTTGAAAGAGCTTAAGACCAACTTTACTCTTCCCACCTTCGATCGCAGATCATCATTAACCACCGTCGACTGCCTTTGATCATCACCGATCATCATTGATCACCGTCTGCTGGCCTCCACCGATCGCCATCGGC